GATTTGCAAGGTTCCTTGGAGAGGGCAGTTACCAGATATGGGGGTCCCCTTGCATTTAATTGGTATTTTCCATTTTGGGAAGTTTGCTTGGGTGTAGGGAATACTGGGGGTTCCCCTGAACTTAGGGGGCGTTTTAGGATTTGGGTTCTTTGGTAATTGTATTTGAAGAGTCAATTTAGGCGCCTCTGTGGTGGTTTGGGGATATTGGGTGGGTACAGGATTTGGAAAGCTCTCGGAGGGACCTAAAAGCGGAGAGCCCAAGAGCACCAGTTCTGAAGCAAAAATGCCTGGGCTCGCGGCGTCTGCCTTGACTTCTTACCTGACTAACCCAGGACAGGACATTTAACCTTCCTGTGCCTCATATGGGGACAGGGACCCCGGGAGGATTAGCAAGAACTGTAGAACGGTACCTGGTAAGCCCGCAGTGAGCACGCAGTAAGCACTTGTTTGCTCCTGCAACGGATTTCTGAGGTGTCTTGGAGGGGTCCTTTTGGTTTGAGAAATATCAACAGTTATATGGCTTAGCCTTAGCCTTCAGTGTTAGGGAAATTTTGTGTTTTGGTGAATTCTTTTGCAACTGGGAGGTGCATCCGTGGAATTAAATGATATGGGGAGCAGAGGTTGGGGTGAGTATAGGATTGCAGGAATCTGGTTGGGAAATTTCAATGTGTGTTGGGTTCTGGGAGAGGTTGGATTATTGGGCCCTTCCATGCTGGAGGGGATATTTTTAGTTTTGGAGAGTTGAAGATTTGAAAGGGTCTAGATATTGAGATTCTGGAATTACGGTTAGGAACTGTTCAGGGACTGTTAGGGGCTGGCCAAGGTGTAGAGGACAGCATCATAGACAGTGCCCTTCACTACGTAGAAGGATTTAGGTGTATCTGAGTTGGTCATTGGTAACTTAGCCATCTATAGAGTTTGCGGGCTGTGGTGATTTTTTTGCTTTTTGTAGTCATTAATTGAGCAGGAGCTGTAAGTATTGGACAGGTAGGTTGGATTAGCGGTAATGGGGCGGGGAGATAAAGATTCTTAAAATCGGACTCTTTGTTACTGATGTGTGAATATTTGGAGGCTGTCTGAATTTATTTATTTTTTTAAGTTTATCTGTTTTGTTTATAGCAGAGTGTGTATGCATGTGAGAGGAAGAAACACCCTCAACAGGTCTGGCCATGCCATGCTCCCTTTCCCCCAGCCCTCCAGTCATCAGGACCTTGGGACCGTGCACACACACCCATCAGGTTTGGGTCAGCCAGGCTGAGGATCTGAACTCGGAGCAGTTAACCATGGGGCTCCAAGTTCCACAGTTCAGTACCTATAGGCTGCAGAGCACCCACTCTTCAGTGCCTGCTCTGCCTGATGCTGGGCCTGTTGGGGTTTTGAAGTTTCTACAGGGCCATGAACTGAATGGACATTAGTATCACTTCTCAGCCCTGTAGACATGGGCTTGGTGGCCAGCAGATGGTATAGTGATTAGTGTGCTGGATTTCCACATGTCCAACAGCGGTTCGAGTCCCAGACCCAGTGGCTTGAAAATCATGCCAGGCATGTATACATGCTTGCCCAAAATCCTAAGAGGAGACTGGCAGACAAGAGATTGCAATGTGGACATCCCCTTTGTAGGGTGATTTCTCACTTTCCCTCTCATTGGCTTTCTCTTGTGAGCACATGTACTGTATGACAAAAACCTTAAAAGAGGGACCAGCAGTTGGTGTAATGGCTATGTTGCTGAACTCCCATGTAGTTCACCGTGGTTTGATTCCCACTCCTGGTGGCTTAAACTCATACCGGGTGCATGTGCATGCATGCCCAATATCCCGAGAGGAGTATGGAGGAGAAGGGATTGCAGCGTGGCCATTCCCCCTGGGGAGTGATTTCTTGCTTTGTCTCTCTCTCTCTCTTTCTGGCGAGCACACATATCTTGTAACCAGAACCTCTCCAAAAAAAGAAAAGAAAAGAACTACCTGGGAAAGAACTACCTGGGTTTAGAAGGTAATCTGTACTGCAGGAGTTGTCTGCAATCTTCTTCCATAAAGAGCCAATGATGCGTGTTTTAGGTTTTGTAGGTCATGTGGGATTTGTTAAACTATTCAGCTTTGTTGTAGTATGAAAACAACCGTGAACAAATGAGCAAGTTGCAGGCCAGCAGGTGAGGTGGTAGCATGGTGGTTAAAATGCTGAATCCACATGGCTGACTCTGAGGTTTGAGTCCTGGACCCAGTGGCTTGAAAAACATGTCAGGCACATGTGTGTGCATGCCCAAAATCCTGAGGGGGAATGGTGGATTAAGGGGTTGCAGCATGGCTATACCTCCTGGGGAGGGGTGATTTTTTCACTTTCCTTCTCTGTCTCTTTCCAGTGAGCGCATGCACCCTTTGGCAAAAATCTAAAACAAAACAAAACAAAAAACAAATGAACAAGTTTCAATAAAACTTTATTTACAAAGTCAGGTAGTGAGTTGTATTTGGCCTCTAGGCCATAATTTGCTGACCTCTCTGGTCCACGGGCCTGTGGTAAGTTTAAGGTTTGGAGGATTCCTTTGGTTTCGGGCTCTCTAGAGGAAAGTGGGCCAGGGAAGGATTGAGGTCAGGGTGTATGCTGCTTCTATTGGTCAGTGGAAAGTAGTCACACTGCACTCTGCTGAAATTGATTGTGGAAAAGGTTGTACACATAGAGTTGCAAAATTCTGGGTCATCAGGAAAGTTATGGTACATTTTTACATAGAAAAACACATCATCAGGACCAGCAGATGATGTAATGCTTACGACTCCCACGTAGTTGATCGCAGTTCGAGTCCTGGATCCACTGACTTAAAACTCATGTCGGGTACATGTGCATGCGTGCCCCAAATCCCAGGAAGAGAATGGAGGAGAATTGTGGCATGGCCATCCCTCCTGGGGGGTAATTTCTTGCTTTCGTGTTTCTCTGGTGAGTGCATGTGCACTATAGCAAGAATGTCTGTTAAATAAAGAAAAACACATCGTGACTTTCCCGATGACCTGATAAAATATGGAGAGAGCCCCGAATTAAAGAGTCCAGACACCAGGTTTAAGGGCCTGGTTTTGCTCTGAGCCCACTGTGAGTCGCTGTGTTTGACTCTGAGCCTTCAGTTTAGCTACGTATAACTTGAGGGAGCCAGACCAGAACAGCCTCCCCCCCCCCTTTTTAAGGTTTTTGGCATACATGCTGGAGAGAGACAGAGAGAAGGAAAGTGAGAAATCATCCCCGAGCAGGGGTAGCCACACCACCATCCCTTCTTCTCCATTCTCCTCTCAGGATTTTGGGCATGCACACACGTGTGCCCAGCTTGATTTTCAAGCCATTGGGTCCAGGATTCAAACCATGGCCAACCACATGGGAGACCAGCGCCTTAGCTACCATGCCACCCACGGATCCCCAGAACAGGTCATCTTGAGCCAGGAGTCTGTGGAGGTCCTTTCAGGGAATCACCTGCACAGTTTTTGCAAGGGTGAGCATTTCTCCAAGTGTGGATATGTAGCTTTAAGACATTCTGACAGCCCTACAACCCACAGAAAAGTGAAGAGTGATTTCTCAAGGCCCTATCTGGCTCTGACCTCAGATTTTCTCTCCCCCACCCTGCCCACCTCGTTCCTCCCTCTGTGGGCTCAAGCAGCCAGAGCTGTGGGCAGAGCTGGGAATTTCTGTCTTTTCAGGAACTGGCTACTGGATGTGCAAATAGGAAAAAGAAGGCACTTGTCTGGCAGCTGGTACTTTCACGTAGGTTTAAAGGTTATGGCAGCAGCAGGTCTCTGGTTTGTGAGTAAAGACAGTTGGGCAGTAGCTTAGGATCTATGGGGGTTGGAGCAAGCCGCCAGCTAGGGTCACACTGTGTTAAAAGAGCAAGTCTCAGGTGGCATGATGGTTAAGGCACTGGACTCCCACATGGCTGACTGCAGTTCCAGTCCCAGAACTGGCAGCTTCCTTTCTCTCTCGCTCTCGCTCTCTGGTCAAGCTAAAAAATAATAAAGGGACCAGCAGATGGTGTAATATCACTGGACTTCCACATGGCCACGTTTTGAGTCCTGGACCCAGTAGCTTGAAACTCATGCCAGGCGTGTGTTCATACCCAAGATCCCTAGAGGAGGATGGAGGAGAAGAGATTGCGATGTGGCCATCCCCCCTGGGGGTGATTTCTCGCGTTCTGTCTCTCTGTCTCTCTCTGTCTTTCTGGCGAGTGCATGCGCCCTAAACCTCTCAAAAAAAAAAAAAAAAATAGGTGATGTTTAGGTAAGGTGCATGTACTTGCTGGAGAGAGAGAGAGAAGGAGAAGGAATGTGAGAAATCATCACCCAGAGGGGATGGCCAGCAGTTAGTGTAATGTCTATGTCGCTGGACTTCCATGCAGTCGACTGCAGTTCGAGTCCTGGACCCGGTGGCTTAAACTCACGCCAGGCGTATTTGCGTGTGTGCCCAAGATCCGAAGAGGAGAATGGAGGAGATGGGATTGCAGCGTGGCCATCCCCCCTGGGGGTTGATTTCTCGCTTTCTGTCTCTGTCTCTCTCTGTCTTTCTGATGAGTGCACGCGCTCTATAGCAAAAACCTCTCCCAAAAAAAAGAAAAAAAAGAATTATTATTTATTTCATTGTATTTGTTGTTGTTATTCTTCAGTTTGACCAGAAAAAACAGATAGAGGAAGAGAAAAAGCAAGCCACCAGGTCCAGGATTCAGACTGTGGTTGACCATGTGAAAGTCCAACACCTTAACCATCATGCCACTGTCGGGCTCCTGAGATGGGTATTTTTGATAGGGTCTTACCATGTCATAATCTTCCTGTCGTAGCCTCCCTGCTAGGACCATAGGCGAGCCAGTGTGTCCAGGAGGGCACAGTGCTGCCCTCCTGCATGCTTCACTATGGCTGGGCAGGGACTAGAGTTCTGGATGGTCTAATTTGACCTGTGTCCTCCAAAGAGTTGAGGTTGGGGTGGTCCTCAGAGGGAAGACTATTCCTCCAGCTCTCCAACCTCCTCTCCCCTGTCTCCAGGTGCCATGTGGAGCCCCCCACCACCCTCCAAGTCCTGAGATGCAGTGAAGCCTGCCTTCTACCATCGTCCCCCAGAATGGACCGCAGTGGCCTCCTGCCCTTCCAGCTATGGTGCCCCCGGCCCTTCGGCACCTATTCACAGAACCAGCCACGCCCGCCTTCTGCAACTCTCAAGCCATCAGCCTGCCCTGAGCCTGGCAGCGGAGCAGAGCCTGACCATGGGGCCACCCACTCCGAGAACACACCGCCAGCCTTGGCAACAGAGGCCCCCCCCTCCCAGCCTGCCCCACTCCTCTCGGCATCAGCCGCAGGCGACGAGGGTCGAGTCCTGCTGGACACATGGTATGTCATCAAGCCCGGAAATACGAAGGAGAAGGTGGCCTTCTTTGTGGCCCACCAGTGTGGTGGGGGCAGTCGGGCCAGCTCCATGAAGGTCAAGGGTCACTGGGGTAGTGACAGCTCCAAGGCCAAGCGGCGGAGGCGCTGTCTCGAGCCTACCAAGGCTCCTCCAGACCCCGGGGGCCGGGAGGGGCCCCCTTCTGCAGAGGCAGACCCCACCTCAGCCAGTGAGGATGTGGACCTGCTGTCTGTGGCCGAGATGGTAGCCTTGGTGGAACAGCGGGCTGCCCTGGCCCTGCAGAGCTACCCACGCCCTGCCACCCCGGCACCTGTGGTCTTTGTATCAGCAGAGCAGGGTGGACCGGCCAAGGGGCTGGGGTCGGATCGGCGGTCCACCGGTGGAGACTGCAGCCGTGTGGCCGAGGCAGTGGCCCACTTCGAGGCCCAGCGGGACAGCCCGCCCACCAAGGGCCTACGCAAGGAGGAGCGGCCTGGGCCAGGCCCGGGAGAGGTGCGCATCGCCTTCCGCATCTCCAATGGCCGGGAGCCCCGTGCGCCTGACGGCAGCTTGCCCAATGGAGGTGGGGGCCGGCCTGGTTGTGCCTACCCGGGCAGCCCAGGTCCTGGGGCTCGAGCCAAGGACAAGATCACGTGTGACTTGTACCAGCTCATCAGCCCCTCGCGAGATGCCCTCCCCAGCAACGTGGAGTTCCTGCTGGCCAGGGCAGATGAAGCCAGCGAGAGTGAGACCCCGGTCCCCACCAGGCCTGAGGATACTCCCCCAGCACCCCCTCCACCACCTGCCCGAGACTGTGGAGCGTCAGGCTTCCACGTGGACGTGGTGGTGACGGGTGTGGTGGACGAGTGCATCTTCTTCGGCAAAGATGGCACCAAGAACGTGAAGGAAGAGACGGTGTGCTTGACGGTCACCCCTGAGGACCCCCCCCCACCGGGCCAGCTCTTTTTGCGCCGGTCCCCGCCCCCGCGCCCCTCCGCCTGCCGACTCGCCAGCCACCGTGCCGGGCCCCGAGGATGCTGAGGGGACCGTGGACACCTCCCTGTGCCGCCTGTACCGGCACGTGTCGCACGACTTCCTGGAGATCCGCTTCAAGATCCAGCGGCTGCTGGAGCCGCGACAGTACATGCTGCTGCTGCCGGAGCACGTGCTGGTCAAGATCTTCAGCTTCCTGCCCACGCGCGCCCTGGCAGCCCTCAAGTGCACCTGCAACCACTTCAAGGGCATTATCGAGGCGTTCGGCGTGCGCGCCACAGACTCACGCTGGAGCCGCGACCCGCTCTACCGCGATGACCCTTGCAAGCAGTGCCGCAAGAGGTACGAGAAGGGCGACGTGTCGCTCTGCCGCTGGCACCCCAAGCCCTACCACCACGACCTGCCTTACGGACGCTCCTACTGGATGTGCTGCCGCCGAGCCGACCGGGAGACGCCCGGCTGCCGCCTGGGCCTGCATGACAACAACTGGGTGCTGCCCTGCAGTGGGTCGGGCGGGGGCCGGGCTGGCCGGGAGGAGGGCAGGTGAAGCCGGCGGAGGGGGGAGCCCACCGTGCCTGCCTCTCCCCCCTCCCCAGGGGCCCAGGGCCAGGACTGGGCCACCAGCTCCCTCCCCCAGTCCAGGCATTGATCCCCCGCCAAAATGGAGCCAGGAGACAACCCAGACAGCACTCTGACCCCTACTGGTTTTGTACTCTGCAGACCCAGGGCCACAGACCCTCAAGTAGGGTGTTTTTTTTTTTGTTTTTTTTTTTCATCAGCATCTCAGTTTCTTCTCCATTCAGCCCCCATACCCTCCCTGCCACCTTCCACACCCCCGAGACCCACCAGCAGGGAGCAGACGGCAGCTAATTTTGGTACCATTTAAGGGTTCCCCCATCTGGCCCATTTTCCGTTCCCTCCCCCAGTTCTTTGTCTCTGGGGCTGTTTCCTCCCAGAGCGTCACCCCCATGGCTGGTGGCTGGTACCTCTCCTGACCTACCGCACCAAGGCATTGGGGCTGGCACATCACAGGGCGAGTCTGGCACTTTGCATAGCAGCCTGCCATTTCTAGATGTTTCCTCATTAAAGAAATAAAAGTCACTGTTTGCTCCTTAACCTCAAGCCACCGCTCTCTGCCCTTCCTCTATCAAGGAAGAGGGAAAAGCCCCGAAGTGTAAAATTTCCCTCTTCCCATTATTTAAGCTATTGGCTCCCCTCCCCCAATAAAGCTGTGAAGCCCTTTGCCTCGCTCTTGACAGCGCGGGGGGCCGGTGGGCAGAGAATGTGGGTTTGAGTTTCTGGGTGGTTTTTCCTTCCACTCTGGTCACTTGGTTCAGGCAGTGGGGTGTCTTCACCCCCAGCGCATATGTTTCTTTAGACTCCTTTGGTCAACTGGGACTGGGATTTTTCAGGCAGTTTGGGCTGCGGTGTTTTTGTTCATTCTGTTTGGGGAGGGTTTTTTTTTGTTTTTCTGGTTTTTTTTTTTCCATCATGGTTCTGGAAGCTTCTAGTGTGTGGCATCTGACCAATTTTGAATTGGTCCTTTCTATAAAATCACTATTTATAAGGCTGGGCCCAGACTGCTTTGTGTGTTGTTAAGGGAGGGGGTTGGAGAGAGAAGTCATGGTGGGATGGAAAATGGAGAGGGGAAGACGGGATCCTTAGCCAAATCCTGAGATTATTTTTGACTCTTCATCTGTGACAGTTTGGATTGGGAAAAAAAAAATCTCAGAATAGTAGTAGCTTGAACAAGATCGTTTTTCTCTCTTTAAAAATCCAGTGTTAACGAAGAATGGTGGCCCTCTAGTTGTTAGGAACCCGGGCTCCAGCCACCTCACAATTCCCCTTCTTTGACATGGTCCTTGTCTTCACAGTCTAAGATGACCACAGAACATCACTATTTTGCAAGAGGGGAAGCCCCCTACGCGCCCCCCCCAGAAGCACTACTGTCCTTTTCCACACCAGAGGGTCTTCAGAAGTTTTATGGAAAACGCATATTATGTAAAAATTGTGTGTGGACTTCAAAGTTTTGGGCACCAGGTTAAACTCACATTTTAATTCCATTTTCCACAAACATTTTTATCATTGACGACAGAGTGTGCATGCATGCCTATGGGAGAGAGAGGGAGGAGCACCCTCCACAGGGTCATACTGCAGTTTCCTTCCTACATCCCTTCAGATCCTGGGTACTCGCACATGTCTCTGTCAGGCTGACCAGGCCTGGGATTTGAACCACCATCACCAAGTGGGATTCAGAATCTCCTGAACAGCGCATTACTGCTTGTCACAGAACTGGTTACTTTTTTTTGTTTGTTTCACAAACTTCTTGAAGTCATCTGATACATCTCACAGGTCAGAACTTAGCCATATGGAAGGGCTGGGCTCCAAAGAGCACTAGGAAATGCAGACTTTCATTTGGGTACAGTTTACCCCACAAAAAAATCTTACTAAAGATCCCTGTAATTAAAGGTGTGTTTTTTTTTTTTAATTTAACTTTTATTTATTATTTTTTCATTTGACCAGAGAGAGACATGGAGAGGAAGAAAGTGAGAAAGCAAGCCGTCAGGTCCAGGACTTGAACTGTCAGCCATGTTGGAGCCCAGCTCCCCCAACCACCATGCTACCTGCTGGCCCCTGTAATTAAAGTTTTAAAGTACCCAATTATTTTACTGAATAAAAAGAGGAACTAAAACTTTTTTTTATATTAAAGTACAAAAGAAGGGGGGGAAATAGATATTGAGAGGCAGATAGCAGTCCCTGACATTCTTGCCAAGAAATCAGAATTTTCAGAGACGAGGGTATATCATAGTAATTCTGTACAGAGATTTTAGAATCAGAGAGACCTGGGTTTAATTCTTGGCTTAATTTTGTGGGACTTAAGTTTCCTATGGAGGGTGGATTAGATGATTTGACCTTGCTGTAAGCTACTGAATTTAAAAAAAAATTATTCACTTTTGCTATAGGACATGAGCAATTTTTTTCTTTTTTTGGAGAGGTTTCTTTTGTTTGTTTTTTTGCTATAGGGTGCGTACGCTCGCCAGACAGACAGAGACAGAGAGACAGAAAGCGAGAAATCACCCCCGGGGGGGATGCGCATGCATGCACATGCGCCCAGCGTGAGTTTAAGCCACCGGGTCCAGGACTTGAACCGCGGTCGACTACATGGGAGTCCAGTGACATTGCCATCACGCTAACTGCTGGTCCCAGGACATGAGTATTTACTAGAGAAAGGCAGAGAGAGAGAGAGATAGGGAAAGTGAGAAAGTCCCTATCCCCTTGCCTCGGGGGTATAGCTACGCGCAGTCCCTTCTCCTCCATTCTCCTCTTGGGATTTTGGGAACACATGCTCACGTGCCTAGAGTGTTTCTCAAGCCACTGGGTCTGAGAGTCATACTGTACAGCTGGCCATGAGGGATCCAGCCACCTTAACTACCATAGCACCAGCTGGTATCAAATAGCCCATAAGATGCACTAACGATCCATCAAGCCAGAAAGTTAAGAGAAAGTGGCCTGAGGTCAAGGCCAAAGGCTGGCCACTCAAGATGGGGAACGTAATAACTGGGATTCCAGAGACGACAAGCTCAGGTCAGGAAGGTCCGGAAGATTAGAGATGTTCAGAATGCTAAAGGGAGCACAGAAGCAAAGGAAAGACAGATACTGACCCTGAAGATTGGTGGTCAGACTGCACTGGCACAGGTTTGCAGTAGGTTCGTATCATGGCTGTCCTGGGGCACTGCCCGCCAAGATGTCTGGCAAAAACAAACACAAGTCGTGTGGTGAGAGGAGCTGTCATCAAGAATCTCCACAAATAACTTTTTCAGACAGTGAGTAGTACATAACCACACACATGAAAGTAAAGCACTGTGAACAAGAACCGGCAAAAACAACAGACCCACAAAAACGTCAGACAGTGAAATTTTCAGCCTCCAATTACAGTACATTTATTTTAAACCTGTGTTAAGACTTTTTTTTTTTTTTGGAAGAGGTTTTTTGCTATATAGGGCCCATGTGCTCACCAGAAACACAGAGAGAGACAGAGAGACAGAAAGCGAAAAATCAGCCCCCCGGGGAGGGTGATGGCTACGCCGCAATCCCTTCTCCTCCATTCTCCTTTTGGGATCTTGGGCATGCACATGCATGCGCCTGGCGTGAGTTTAAGTCACCAGGTCCAGGACTCGAACCGTGGTCGACTACATGGGAATCCAGCAACATAACCGTTACACCAACTCCTGGTCCTAAAATTTTTAAAAAGCTTAGAATTACTGCAGGGCAGTTAAAACTGAACAATGCTCAGGACTGGCAGGTGGCATGGTGGCTAAGGCGGCTGGACTCCAACATGCCTGACTGTGGTTCGAGTCCCAGACCTGGCGGCTTGCTTTCCCACTTTCCTTCTTTCTCTCTGTCTCTCTCTGGTCAGCTTCAAAAAAATAAAATGAAATAATGACAACGAATAAAATTATTTAAAAAAAAGTTAAAAAAAAAACTAAACAATGGTGTAGCAGATAGGAAAAGAAAAAAAAAAAAAAACTAATTTCTAGAAATAAAAAAAATACAACCACCAGGCTGGCTCTATGGCCTGGTGGTTTAGGCAGATTGCAAATGGCCCACTGTGCAGTTCAAGTCCTGAACCTGGTGGTTTGAGAAACACTGGGTGCATATGCATGCATGTCCAAAAATTCCAAAAGACAAGAGCATGCTGGAGAAAGGATTGTGATGCGACGATTCTCCATGGGGATGCTTTCTTTTCTCCCTCTCTCTCTGACAAGTGCTAACCCTCTAACAAAAATAATAATAAAATAATCCAAAGTGAAAACTCAATAGTGGGAACCAGCAACTGGCATAGCGGTTGAGTTGCTGGGCTCCCACACGGCTGACCATGGTTTGAGTCCCTGACCCAGTGGCTTCAATCATGCTGGGGGGCCGGCAAGTGATGTGGTGGTTAAAGGTCCCTACTCCCACATGGCCATCTGCGGTTTGATACCTGGACCTGGTGGCTTGCTTTCTCACTTTTCCTCTTTCTCTGTCTCTCTGATCAAACTGGAAAATAACAATAAAAAAATAATTCTTTAAAACAAAATAATCACGGCGGGCATATGTGTGCACATGCCCAAGATCCCAGGAGGAGAATGGAATGGAGAAGCGATTGCAGTATAGCCAACCCCCATCGGGGGTGATTTCTCACTTTCCCTCTCACTGTCTCCCCACCACCACCACCACCACCACAACTGCATGTGGCCTGAGGGGAAGAAATCTTTAAAAAACAAACAAACAAAAAAAAACTTAAAACAACAACACAAAACCTCAATGGCTAGGTTAAACAGCAAATGAGATAGAGCTGAGAAAAGATTTACTGACCTACAGCTAGGTCAGAATATTGCAGCACAAAAATAAAACCCAAGTCAGAAAATATGAAAGAAAGGTTTGAGGATAGAGAAGGTCCAACATAAATTTAATTGGCATTCCAGAATCAGAGAACGGTGCACAGACAATACTTAAAGACGTGATGGTTGAGAATTCCAAATGAAGACACCAGCAGGTCCAGTGAACCATGAGCAGGATAAGAAATGTCCACCTGGACACTTTGCAGTGAAGGTTCCCAGCTTTGTGATCTTGGGCGATTGAGTTCTCTGACGTTCAGTTCCTTAAGCTAGGACATGAAAATACTAACAGTTCCTCAAAAGATATGTAGGACGTGGTATCTCAAGTGCTCAATGAATACACCGACAGCCCCTTCGTAGTGTGAAGCTGGGGAGCCTGAGTTTGGAGTATGAAGGAGCTGCAAACCTGCTGGCTGTGGGACCTTGAGAAGACACTGACCTGCCAATCTGTAAAATGAAACTAATAATCCTTGCCCCAGATTCAAACCACAAATGTGCCGAAAGCCATGTAAAAGCTGATTAAAAGCCTCCGGCTACTTTCTGTCAACAAATTGTTCATCCAGCACAGGTAATTTTTGGAGGGGAGGCAGGAAGTGTGGGTTGGAAGCACAGCTGTGGGTGAGAATCTGGGTTCTGCAAACAACTGGTTCACGATTCTCAGTCTCAGCCACCTCACCTGAGAATGAAAACCAAAACACTACCTCAGCATTTAGGCGGAGACTAAATGAGTGGGTTATAGAAGGTTCTCATGGTGCCAGGCACAGAATAGGCTCCCCATAAATGTCCACGACTATGCAATAGCTCGGACTGAGGACCTGCCATTCAATGTCTTGGGTTCAACCCAATTTCTGTAGCTTGAGTTTGCTTAGAAGACCAACAGTCTCCTTCACTATTTTCGTTGTTGTTAAGTGTATTGATTTATTTCACCGGGGCGGTGGGAGGGGGAACCCCCAACAGGGTCTCATGTTGCAGTCCAGCCTCAGCCAGCTTGGATCAAGGACACGTGTGCTCACATCCAGCATATACAGGAGGGTCCTGGGATGCAAACCACGGACTGTCCCATGTGGGGCCAGTTGTATTACCCCTGTGCCACATCTATTTTAAGACCCCTCCAGCTTGGCATCCTGCTGCCTACCAAGTCTCCATCAAAGTCACAAAACCAGGAGGCACACGGCCCAGCACAGGACTCTGCTTCCCAGTTTCATCTTTTTTTATTTTAATTATTTTATTTAACTTAATCTACTTATTTACTTTTTATTTGACCAGAAAGGGACAAAGTGAGATATAGATTAAGTGAGAAAGCAAGCCGCCAAGTCTGGGACTCGAACCGGGGTTGGCCATGTGGGAGTCCATCACCTTTAACCACTGTGCCACCTGCTGCCCCCCTCCCCCCCCCCGACTCCATCATAAGTTTTCTTTTGAGAAGATTTGCTAAGCATCTGTGTACACGGCAAACCATATCCTTAAGGATGGCATGGAGTTCTGCTTCAGTTGGTCTGGAGTCTACCTTCCTTAATAAGCACCGTAGCAGAATCTGAAATTTAGGGGAAATAACTCCTCACTGGAGCTGCGGTAGTTGCCATCCCACACTCCTGCAACCAGGCCTGAGAGGAAAGGATGGTTTGCTATAACCGCTCTGCAGTGAATCCATGTCTGCTGTGCCCATTTGTACCACAAAGGTGCTTCACTTTCCAAACCCATTGTTTCCCAAAGTATCTTCTGAGGTACCCTAGTCCTATGAGGTGCTTCCCAAGAAAGGGGTTCCATGGTGAAATACTTTGGGAACTACTATCGTCTCTCTGAAAATTTACACTGTGCAGTGAAGAAACTAATGGCGCCTCACCTTGTCCTGATCTCAGATCCTCTTTTTAACACAACACCTGTTCACACTAGTTCTGCAGAATGTTTTGCAGAAACAACTGTTTTATTGCTCATTGGGTCTGGCAGAATCTGGAGTTCAAAAGTGCTGGCTTCCATCTCCTCTGTCCCTGCCTCTAAACACATTCTCTGTGGGCCCCACATGGGAGTTAGGTTTAGACTGGTGCAGCAGTAGGGCTGCCATGCTAGAGAACAAACTGGTACAAAAAACTTAAGTCCAAGAGAATTAACTTGGGTGGGTGGTGGTGCTGGTCCAGATTCCAGTCTAAGAAGCAGCATTTGGTCCCCGTGAACCATCACACCAATGCTTGTCTTAGGGCAGGAGCCAGACTCATTCCTCTGGGTCTCAGCCCCACAATGGTCTCTTCCAGGTCCTTGAAGAGTGGCATCTTCTTGCGAAGCACAAGTAGAGGCTGGAGGTGTAAAATGGACAAGCCAGCCCTTCTGAGGTGGACCCAGCCTGAGCTCCTCTGGAGCTGGTGCCCTTGTCCGGTCCCAAGCTGGCACTTCTCCCGCTGAGTAAGGTCCCCCTTGGACACTGGCCCAGCAGTTAGAGTCCCAGGTATTCAGCCAGGAATACTGCAAGGATGCGGCTCAGGTTGTGGACTGTGGGTGGGTGGAGGTTGGCTTCTGTGTCGGAAGTCGTGTGCCAGACAGCAGGGAAGGGCGTGGAGATGAGGTGGAGCACTGGAACCCCTGCAGGTGACAGGAGATGCCATCAGGCCTAATGTGTTCCCACACCAACCAGGAGCTAGGCTCTGGGTAATCTTGCCTCAGTGACACTTCTCCCAGAAGATTCTCTCTGCTGGCACTGTAAGAACCCTAAATGAGAACTAAATGTGTGAGGGTACATGTAGGTTTAAAAAAATCCCATCTAGGGGCCAGCAGGTGGCATGGTGGTTAAACTGCTGGACTTCAGGGCCAGCATGTGGCGTGGTGGTTAAGGGTGCTGGACTCCCACATGGCCAACCACGGACCAACCACAGTTCAAGTTGTGGACCTGGCAGCTTGCTTCTCACTTTCCTGCTCTCTCTCTCTCACTCTGTCCCTCTCTGGTCAAATTAAAATAAAAAAATAGGTTAAAAAATAAAATAAAAAAAAAAGATGCTGAAAATAGTTAAAAAAAAATAAAATAAAAAAAAAAAAGATGCTGGACTTCCACATGGCCAACTATAGTTTGAGTCCCAGACCCAGCAGCTTGAAAATCATGCCAGGTGCACGTGCTCAAAATCCTGAGAGAAGAATGGAGGAGAAGGGATCACCCAGGGGGATGTTTTCTTGCTTTTTGTCTCTCTGTCTCTGTCTCCAACAAGTACATGCACCACGTAGCAAAAAAAAAAAGCCTCTCCAAAATAAAAGAAACTTAGGCCAGCATGTGTGCTCAAGATCTTGGGAGGAGAATGGAGGAGAGTGGATTGTAAGGTGGCCATTCCCCCAGGGGGTGGTTTCTCACTTTTTCTCTTGTCTTCTCTCTTTTTCTCTCTCCAGCGAGTGCACGTGCCCTAAAGCAAAAACCTCTTAATAAATAAATGAGACCAGCAGGCGGCGTGGTGGTTAAGAACTTGGACTCCCACATGGCCAACTGTGGTTTGAGTCTGGAGCCTGGTGGCTTGCTTTCCTACTCTCTCACTGTGGTGAGGACATGTGCTCCTCTCTTGGGATTTTGGGCATGCACGCACAAGCGCCTGGCATGCATTTTAAGCTACTGGGTCTGGGATTCAAACCACTGTCGACTATGTGGGAATCCAACGACATAACCATTACACTATCTGCTAGTCCCACTAAGTAGGCACTTTATAAACTGGATCTCTACTAATCACATTCATGATTATGAATACACACACACATGTGCGTGTGTCTTCATTTTCCAGAAAAAAAAATCTGGCCCAGAGAGGCAAGTAATATGCTTTAAGTCAAATAGCAGGAAGTTGCAAATTCTAGACCACAGACCTGTCTTGTTCCCTCCTTAGCCCTTATACCAGATGTTTTCAACCCTGGATGTGCATCAGAATCACGTGTAAACTATGCAAAGGGGCCGGCAGGTGGCATGGTGGTTAAGGTCACTGGACTCCCACGTGGCCAACCGTGATTCGAGTCCCAGACCTGGAGGCCTGATTTCTCACTTTCTCTCTCTCTGGAAATATTAAATAAATTAAATAATTCTTAAAGCACACACACACACACACACACACACACACACACACACGTGTACACACACACAAAGCCCAAGACTGCAGTTCAGTGGCCTGAAACATGACCAGGCATCTTTAGAAGCGCCATGGGTGACTGTACTGAGCTGCCTGAGCCTCAGAAGGCAAGAATAAGAGAATAAGAATAAGGCAATCATTGCAGCACAGATAACAGCTAACATTTCTCAAATGCATGCTGCTGTGTGCTGGGTCCAAGGTCTACACACGTCTCTGCACTTCCAATCCCCTCAGTAACACTCTGAGACAGGAGCTGTCATCCCCATTTTGCAGGTGAGTAAATGAGGCTCAAGAAGGTTCAGCAACTTGCCACCTGGTCCAAGGCCCTGCAGGACCAGGTCCGCTGTGTGGCTTTCCTGGACCCCACCCGGATCCCTCCCTTTTGTACGTACCTCTGCGGAGGAACGGGATGTGGTCATCTTCCACCGAGCCAGGGGGCTCCCCCGGTTGGAAGTACATCACTTCCTGGGGATGCGCCTGCAGCAGGTTCAGCCGGTGCAGACGCTTCTCTGCAGGTGGTGGGATGAGAGCACGGTGAGTCCTCAGCCAAGTCCCTGTTCACACAGCAGAGCCCACCCCTCGAGTTTACTCTGGAAAAAGGGGGGCTTGAGGGTAAAGTACAAATCATTCTACCAAGAAAAAGTTCCAGGGGGCCAGCAGATGGTGCAGCAGTGACATCGCTGGACTTTACAGCTTACATCCCAGTGGCCGGCTGCAGCTCGAGTACTGGACCTGGTGGCTTGAAACTCATGCCAGGTGCACGTGCATGGCATGCCCAAGATCTCAGGAGGAGAGTGAAGAAGGGATTGTGGCATGGCCAGCCTAGGGGGTGAGGGGTGTGATTTCTCACCATCTCTCTCTCTGGTGAGCACCCATACCCTAAGACAAAACCTCTTTTTTTTTTTTTAATTTTTTAATTATTTATTTATTTTTATTCATTCATTTTAATTTGACCAGAGAGAGACACAGAGCGAGAAAGGGAAAGGAAGAAAGCAAGCTGCCAGGTCTGGGACTCAAACCGTGGTCAGCCATGTGGGAGTCCAACACCTTAACCACTATGCCACTTGCTGGTCCCAGATAAAACCTCTTTTAAAAAAAGGAATTCTGGCTATACCTTACTGTAGGCTTACTATGTTCCTGTCTCATTACATCTGAGGCTAGGAGGAGGATACCCCTGCCAGTGCTACCAGTATGCCCATTTTACAGACAGGAAACAGGCTCAGAACAACGATAACCAAGTCCACAGCTGGTAAGACGTGGGACCGAGATTTAAAACTAGTGCAGTCTCACCTTATATCCCGTCTTGTAATCACTACAGTTGATTACAGTGGAATCCATGTGTGTTTAGTTCCTTTTTTTGTTGAGAGATTTTTGCTATAGAGCATGTGCCCTCACCAGAGAGAGACAGAAATGGAAAGTGAGAATCACCCACTGGGGGATGGTCATGCCACAATCCCTTCTCCTCTCGGGATTTGGGGCATGTACACACACACGCCTGGTGTGAGTTTCAAGCCACCGGGTCCAGGACTTGAATGAACTACAGTCTAGTTGACCACGTGGGGAGTCCAGCGCCTTAACCACTATGCCAATCGCTGGCCCTTGTGCTTGGTTCCTTAGAGAGACTAGGAAGGTAGTCTTAGATGGAAGGCAGGATGAGCCCTGAGAGGATGGCGCCTGTCCCACCCCTGCCAGGTTCCTCCTTACCAATGCTTCTCAGCCTCTGGAACCAGCGGGCCGTGTGGGGGAAGTGACTGTAGAAGGTCGGGTTGGGGGCTCCCAGGAGATCAAGAAGCACGAAGAGCTCCTAGGAGAGAGGTGGAGACTGGAGAGAGCCCGGCGGGGTACTGCCGACCGGGCATCGCCTTCTCCGTCCCCTCACCAGAACCCAGTGGGCGCCTGGTCTTACAATAGCCTGGATCCTGGTGGGGCCCGGGCTGTGCGGTATAGACTCCATGAGCTGGGCCAGGTGCTGGGAGCCGTACAGGGAGTCCTTGGGTCCCCACTCCTTCAGTGCCTCTTCACCGTCCAAGAAGAGCAGCTGCAGGGTCACTGGGGCTTCCTGGGGAGTGGGCAGCCAGCGCCAGCTCAGTGCCAGCCCTCGGCCTCGACCCACCCTCATTTCCTGCCTGCTTGCACTGCTGCGTGGGACAAAGCCGGTGTTCTCAGTCATAGAACGCGGCGGCCAAGGGCACAGATTCTGAGCCGAGCTGCTTGGGTTTGGACTCGTCTGCTTCACGGCTCAGTAGACACAGGTAAGTGACTAACTTCCTGAAGCATCAGTTTCATCATCTAGAAAGGGGGTTATAATAACACTTCTGATCACAGGGTTTATAGGATTCAGATTTAGGTCTTAGAATAGTGCCTGGGGCCAGCAGGTAGCAGGTGGTGAAGGCGCTGGATACTCCCACATGTCCGACCAGAGTTCAAGTCCTGAATCTGGTGGCTTGCTTTCTCACTTCCAAAGAATAGTGCCTGGAGCCAGCAGGTGGTGTGGGGGTTAAGGTGCTGGATCCCACATGGCTAACTACATGGTCTGAGTTCTAGACCTGGTAGCTTGAAAACGTGCCAGGCATGGACATGTATGTGTGCCCAAAATCCTGAGAGGGGAATGGAGAAGTGACTGCAACCATGCCCACCCCGCCAGGGGGTCGGGTGGGGTGGGGTGACTTCTCACTTTCCTTCTCTGTCTCTCTTTAGCAAGTACACACACCCTATGGCAAAAATCTAAAAAGAAAAACTTGCCTGGCAGTTGGTAATTATTATTATTGAATAATGGTTATTATTCTTCAAGCTCATTTTAGAAAAAGAGACAGATTTGGGACCAGCAGATGGCATAATGGCTACATCGCTTGAGTCCCCCGTGGGTGACCGTTGTTTCGGACCCGGTGGGTTAAACTCACGCCAGGCACATGTGCGTGCGTGCCCAAGATCCCGAAAGGAGAATGGAGGAAAAGAGATTGCAGTTTGGCCATCCCCCCTGGGGGATCATTTCTAGTTTTCTGTCTCTCTCTCTCTTTCTGGTGAGTGCAAACGCCCTATAGCAAAACAGCAACAACAACAACAACAAAACTCTCCAGAAAAAAAGAAGAGACAAACCTACAAAAGAATAATTATACAAAAAGTGAAATATAGTTGGGACAAATGTTTCCAAGACCTACAAGTCTCCGAGAGAGTGTAGGAAGGAGGGTGAGAGATGACCTGATGGGCCAGCTAACTGGCATAGTGGTTAAGGCAGCTGGATCTCACACAGCCAAACACACGGTTCATGTCCCAGACCCAACAGCTTGGAAAACATGCCAGGCATGCTTTCTCCAAAAAAAAAAAAGAGAAAGAGAAAGAAGCTTTTTTTTGCGGGAGAAGTTTTCACTATAGGGCGCATGCACTCGCCAGAAAGAGAGACAGACAGAGAGACAGAAAGCGAGAAATCACCCCCCAGGGGGGATGATCACGCCGCAATCCCTTCTCCTCCATTCTCCTCTCGGGATCTTGGGCACGCACGCACACACGCCCGGCATGAGTTTTAAGCCACCGGGTCCGGGACGCGAACCACGGTCGACTACGTGGGAGTCCAGCGACATAGCCATTACGCTAACTGCTGGTTCCCAAAGCTTCTTTCTTTCAAACAAAAAGTTTCTTTCTTTCATAAGCAAGAGAAAGAGAAAAATCATGGGGCCAGCAGGTGGTATGGAGGTTAAGGCACCAGACACTCCCACATGGCTGACCACAGTTGGAGTCCTGGACCTGGTGGCTTGCTTTTTCACTTTCCCTTTCTTTCTCGCTATGTCTCTCTCTGGTCAAATTAAAATAAATAAATGAATAAATTTTAAAAATAAATAATTTTTTTAAATAAAAAAAAAAAAAGAGAAAAATCAGTGCCCCAACAGGGTCCTCATGCCATGGCCCACCCCCAGCCTGGAGCCTTCCCGTATGGATCAGTCTCACAGAGCATTGTGTTTTACTTCTGTGTCATTGTCCAACCCCTGAGAGTTGTGTTTTTATTCATTCTTTTAACAATTTGTATGTATTTATGTATTTGTTAATTTAGGATTTTGCCACCAGGTGTTTGTGCTCACAGGAGAGAGACAGAGAGAAAGTGAAAAATCACGCCCCGGAGAGGATGGCCATACCACAATCCCTTCTCCATTCTCCCAGGAATTTGGGCATGTACACACACACATGTGCTTGCTGGAGAGAGACAGAGACAGGGAAAGTGAGACAGGAAGCCACTGGGTCTGGGACTCAAACTGTGGCTGGCCACGTGGGAATTCAGCACCTTAACCACCATGCCACCTGCTGGCCCTGACTCCACAATATTTATTTATGTCATACTGTATGTCAGGCAATATTCTGGCCCAGGGGATACAATAGGAAATAAAAGAGGCCACATTCATGCCTTCATGGGACTTATTCTAGTTGAGGAAATAGAAAAAAAAAAAAATCAACGGAAAGCACCATAGGAAAGTGACAGTAGCTATGTTAAGGTGGTTGGGAAGGCCTCTTTGAAGAGGTAACATTGGAGTGGACACCTGAGGGGAGGGGGAGCCAACTAGGAAGAGAATTTCTAGAAGAATTTCTTTCTTTTTTTTTGCCAGAGGGTACATGTGCTTGCTAGAGAGAGACAGGGAAAGTGAGACAGGAAGATAAGAAGGATGACAAAGGCCCCAGCAAGGGAGGGTGGTGTCTTGGACCAGGATGACTGCCCCTCAACCCACCCCTGCTCCTTACCTGCTCCTTGGCCCTGCTCAGCTCCAGATCGAGGGCCTGGGCCAACTCCAGTAGCAGGGCACAGGGCACAGCTGAATCCGTGGCACCCACAAAAGGGGCCGACCCAGGTGGGAAGAGCTTCGAGTCATAATGGCAGGCGAAGGTGAGGTGACGGGCAGCCCCTGGGTCCAGTGTGGCGACGATGTTGCCAAAGTCCAGAGGCCCCAGGGGTGTCAGGGCCGTGAAGGGATCCAGCTCTACATGCCAGCCTGCTGTGAGGCCTCGCAGCGTAGCCTCCAGGAACTGTGGTGAGAGAGAGGTGGGAGGCTGGACAGGGACTGGGGAGGAGGCAGGGAGAAGGGCCATGTGACCTGAGCCTTGCAGTGCACCCAGCTGTCTCACAAACCAGACTTTGCTTTGAATCATTCCCTTGATGCATTTCTGCTAAGGAGCCAGACATTGAGGTGACCCTGCCTTTTGATACCAACAACAGCCTACTGTTTTTGTTTTTTTTTTTTAAAAAAAGACTTTTGCTATAGGGCACTTGCATGGGCCAGAGACAGAAGGCGAGAAATCACCCCCCAGGGGGGATGGCCATGCTGCAATCCCTTCTCCTCCATTTTCCTCTCAGGATCTTGGGCACATGCACCTAGTGTGAGTTTTAAGCCACCAGGTCAGGGATTCGAACCGCGGTCAACTACATGGGAGTTCAGCGACAGCCATTACACCAACTGCTGGTCCCCAGCCTACTCTTTTTTTTTTTTTTTTTTTAGAATTTTCTTTTTTTTTTATTTCCTTTTTTTTTAATTTAACCAGAGAGAGAGAGGAAGGGAAAATGAGAAAGCAAATTGCCAGGTCCAGGACTCAAATCGGATGATCTGCCATGTGGAATCCAGCGCCTTTAACCACCACACCACCTGCTGCCCCCTTTCCCCAGCCTACTCTTAAATAGCTCTCACTATGTGCCAAGTTCTATTTTGGGAACTCTATGGTATAGGGGTTGTCAATGGCCCCATTTTGCAGATGAAGAAACTGAGGACCCAAAGGGTTAAGAAACAACTTGAAGCCACACTACGAGTGGCTGAAGTGGGACTGGAATGCAGGCAGTATTCAATAGGGCACATGTGCAGGCCAGAGAGTGAGGGAGAGAAGTGAAAAATCACCACCTGGGGAGGATGGCCGTGCCACAATCCCTTCTCCTCTAGCCTCCTCTGGGGATTCTGGGCACACACACACATGTGCCCAGCATGATTTTCAAGCTGCTGATCCAGGATTCAAACCTTACAGGTGGTCATGTGGGATCCAGTGCCTTGACCTCCATGCCACCTGCTGGCCCCAGGACTACCACTTTTTAACTGTGAGATTTGGGAAGAGTACATAACCTCTCTAGACATCAGTCCCCCCCTGCATAATGAAGGTCGTATTGGCGTCCACCTCATAGGGCTGTTCACTGCTTGTGTTTAACATATATTAATTAAGCTTATAGTGGGGCAGTACAGCCTAGTGGTTGGTTACCAGCGTGGGGCGCTAGAGTCAGATGAACTATAGTCACCACCTCTTAGCTGCTCTGAGTTCCTAGACAGGAAATCTGTTTCCCATTCCCTAGAAGACTGGTGGGGCGGGGCAAGGTGGGGCAGGCGTGTGTGCGTGCGGAGAGAGAGAGAGAGAGAGAGTGTGCGTGTGTGTCAGAATTTGGAGGTGGGGTCCCTTACCTTTCGGACTTGCAGATTGCCAGGGCTGCCAGGGCACAACCAGAAGAGGGCGTAGATAAGCGCCCCAGAGACGCTGCGGGTCCAGTTGCCCCACCCCACTCCGCAGCTGGGATTCCGAGAGGGTTGAGGTCAGCGGGAACTTGGGAGGGAGTGGGATAGAGAAAAAAAGAATGAGATCAAACAACACGCATTCCTACCCTAAGGTTGGCATCTTGCACCATCGCCCCCAAGGAGTCCAGGTTCCTCTTTGTAATCTGAGGCCTCCAACACCGGAGACCTCTAAGAGAAATTCTAAACTCAGGAAAAGTCCCTTCAAGCCCATTCTGTCCAGCCTACCCTGATCTTGATGGGAAATCTAAGCCCAATGAGAAAAAGGGATTCTTCCAAATAGGTGACTAGACGTAGAACCCAGAACTCCCAGTCCTACTCCTCCACCAACTGCTGGTCCCCAGCCTACTCTTTTTTTTTTTTTTTTTAAGAATTATCTATTTATTTAATTCCATTTGTTATTATTTATTTTAATTTAACCAGAGAGAGAGAGGAAGGGAAAATGAGAAAGCAAATTGCCAGGTCCAGGACTCAAATCGGATGATCTGCCATGTGGAATCCAGCGCCTTTAACCACCACACCACCTGCTGCCCCCTTTCCCCAGCCTACTCTTAAATAGCTCTCACTATGTGCCAAGTTCTATTTTGGGAACTCTATGGTATAGGGGTTGTCAATGGCCCCATTTTGCAGATGAAGAAACTGAGGACCCAAAGGGTTAAGAAACAATCCAGGATTCAAACCTTACAGGTGGTCATGTGGGATCCAGTGCCTTGACCTCCATGCCACCTGCTGGCCCCAGGACTACCACTTTTTAACTGTGAGATTTGGGAAGAGTACATAACCTCTCTAGACATCAGTCCCCCCCTGCATAATGAAGGTCGTATTGGCGTCCACCTCATAGGGCTGTTCACTGCTTGTGTTTAACATATATTAATTAAGCTTATAGTGGGGCAGTACAGCCTAGTGGTTGGTTACCAGCGTGGGGCGCTAGAGTCAGATGAACTATAGTCACCACCTCTTAGCTGCTCTGAGTTCCTAGACAGGAAATCTGTTTCCCATTCCCTAGAAGACTGGTGGGGCGGGGCAAGGTGGGGCAGGCGTGTGTGCGTGCGTGCGTGTGTGTGTGTGTGTGTGTGTGTGTGTGAGAGAGAGAGAGAGAGAGAGAGTGTGCGTGTGTGGCAGAATTTGGAGGTGGGGTCCCTTACCTTTCGGACTTGCAGATTGCCAGGGCTGCCAGGGTTTCGCACAACCAGAAGAGGGCGTAGATAAGCGCCCCAGAGACGCTGCGGGTCCAGTTGCCCCACCACTCTCCGCAGCTGGGATTCCGAGAGGGTTGAGGTCAGCGGGAACTTGGGAGGGAGTGGGATAGAGAAAAAAAGAATGAGATCAAACAACACGCATTCCTACCCTAAGGTTGGCATCTTGCACCATCGCCCCCAAGGAGTCCAGGTTCCTCTTTGTAATCTGAGGCCTCCAACACCGGAGACCTCTAAGAGAAATTCTAAACTCAGGAAAAGTCCCTTCAAGCCCATTCTGTCCAGCCTACCCTGATCTTGATGGGAAATCTAAGCCCAATGAGAAAAAGGGATTCTTCCAAATAGGTGACTAGACGTAGAACCCAGAACTCCCAGTCCTACTCCTCCAGACCCTTCCTCTTAAGAAAGAACCACTATTGCAGAACTAGCCCAAAGCCTTCTCGTTGGTAAGAAGCATGCACTCAAATGACGGTGGCACCTGGGGCTAGAGCCATAAGATACAGCCACGTCAACTCGAGATTCTAGGGTAGACGAGGCAGGAATGAGAGCTCCCGCGGTGCCCCGCCCGACCTCACCCGCAGCTCCCGGCCCAGCCGCAGGCCGCCCGCGGCCCGCGGAACGCATGGCAGCTTTGCCCTGAAACCGGTCGGAGACCGCAGATTGTATTCAGCTCCAGCCAAGTTCCACCCCATGGAAACACGGGACCAATGAGCAACAAGAGCGGCGGCACCATCCCACCCCAGAGAGCAGGAAAACCAATCGGAGCTGTCATTCGGAGGACACGCCTCCCTGCCTCCCTCGGGTATTGGGGTTGGTTCCCTAGAGCGTTGCACAACCCAAAGGGGAGCGCCGAAGGGGTAGGCTCCGCCTCAGCGGATCCGGACAGCCAATGAGCAGCGCT